CAATAAAGTCTAATTCTTGAATTCACAAGCTCCGGTGTCTTGAGAGATATTTTTTGAGTTGATTATCTTTTAGTCAAAAATTTCTACCACGACAGTATTTGGATGTACGAGACTTGACGTCAGAGGAGTTATAGGGTGTGATGAGTGGTGGTGTCCTGTCTAGGTAGGACTAGATAATTAAAATAGTGGAGTAGGTTGGGGGTTTTAATTGAGTGTACAGTCAGATTTAGGGTATTTTCTTTTTTTCCCCAGCAAAATAAGGGAGTTATCATCCAGTCTAGTATGTGGCGGTAATGCAACGTTTATTGGATGCCAACCGCCGTTAAACTTCATCGAAGAAGACTTTAGCTTTTCTTCTGGTGGTGAAAACAACCACTACTACAGAGGTCGCCGCTGCCATGCCACATGACCGCAATACTACCGCTAGATGACTGCAACTTAGCCATGCTGCCACCTCGAGGGGGGGGGGGGGGGGGACAGAGCCGAACGAACAAGTGCTGTGATGCACAAAGCTGGGACTGTCTATAGGGAAGTGAGTGACGATTGTGTCCCCCTGACCCCTGCTCTGTTCTCTGCCAGTAGTGAGGTAGCATGTGCCAACGATGGACTGACGCGACAAGCGATCGGACTGACAATCTATGGATGGACGGGCAGCGGCGATGGCCATTTTGTTCTACCTCACCAGCAGCCGGGACTTATTCTTGGGACTGAGTATTTGTGTTAAACATTTGTACACCCCCGAGACCTCAAGTAAAAACATTGGCTGTGTTGGCCTGGGATCGTACTTACCTGTGTCTGACAGATATATGATCTATTCTGTCCTATATTATTTTTCCTCTTTCTGGGTATTACTGTCAACTAAGGGTTTGCTGATATTGAATGCCTTGGTTGGGTTCTGTCTTTATTCCTTTATATTTTTATACCTAGAACTGTTAGTGCTTTTTTTCTAGCCAGTATAATTTCTCTCATTTTGTTATCTTGCTATACTGAACAAAAATATAAACGTAACATGTAAAGTGTTTGGCCCATGTTTCATGAGCTGAAATAAAAGATCCCAGAAATGTTCCATACGCACAAAACATATTTCTCTAAAATGTTTTCCACAAATTTGTTTACCAGGGATGTACTGACCATTTCTCCTTTACCAAAATAATCATCCACCTGACAGGTGTGGCATATCAAGAAGCTGAATAAACAGCATTATCATTACATAGGTGCACCTTGCTGGGGCAATTAAAGGCCGCTCTAAAATGTGCCGTTTTGTCACACAACACAATGCCACAGATGTCTCAAGTTTTGAGGGAGCATGCAATTGGCATGCTGACTGCAGGAATGTCCACCAGAGCTGATGCCAGAGAATTGAATGTCAATTAATCTACAATTTCGTTTTAACCGCAGACCACGTGTAACCACGCCAGCCTAGGACCTCCACATCCGGCTTCTTCACCTGGGGGATAGTCTGAGACCAGCCAGCCGGACAGCTGATTAAAATGAGTATGTCTGTAATAAAGCCCTTTTGTGGGGAAATTGTTACATGTTGCGTTTATATTTTTGTTCAGTATAGTTATTTGCCTCTTTATCGGTATTTACCACTCCTATGAACTAAAATTGGCTGTTTGGGCTATAATGACTATGCAGTACACTCACTCCCCACATCAGGGCTGTTGAGGTATTAGGCTGGGGGGCATCGGGATTGCAAACGTGGTATGTAAGGGACAGGTGGAGTATCATGCTCTCAGTGGTTAGAAAAGTGAAGGTGCAATTCAGGGAGGGAGTTGAAAGGGCCTTTCTCGGGTTGGGTGGGGGGATATATTAAGGGAGGGACAGAAGGAGGACAGTTAGAAACATATCTCAGGTACAGCTATGTCTAGCAGCCTGATCATGATGGTACTTTTTGGTATACATTTTATAGGTGTTAATTCTGGTAAGTACAGTCATGGTTAAAAGTTTTGAGAATGACCCAAGTATTGGTCTTCACAAAGTTTGCTGCTTCAGTGTTTTTAGATATTTTTGTCAGATGTTACTATGGTATACTGAAGTATAATTGCAAGCATTCCAAAAGTGTCAAATGCTTTTATTGACAATTACATTAAGTTTATGCAAAGAGTCAATATTTGCAGTGTTGACCCTTCTTTTTCAAGACCTCTGCAATCCGCCCTGGCATGCTGTCAATAAACTTCTGGGCCACATCCTGACTGATGGCAGCCCATTCTTGCATAATTAATGCTTGGAGTTTGTCAGAAATTGTGGGTTTTTGTTTGTCCACCCGCCTCTTGAGGATTGACCACAAGTTCTCAATGGGATTAAGGTCTGGGGAGTTTCCTGATCATGGACCCAAAATGTCAATGTTTTGTTCCCCGAGCCACTTAGTTATCACTTTTGCCTTATGGTAAGGTGCTCCATCATGCTGGAAAAGGCGTTGTTCGTCACCAAACTGTTCTTGGATGATTGGGAGAAGTTGCTCTCGGAGGATGTGTTGGTACCATTCTTTATTCATGGCTGTGTTCTTAGGCAAAATTGTGAGTGAGCCCACTCCCTTGGCTGAGAAGCAACCCCACACATGAATGGTCTCAGGATGCTTTACTGTTGGCATGACACAGGACTGATGGTAGCGCTCACCTCGTCTTCTCCGGACAAGGTGTTTTCCGGATGGCCCAAACAATCGGAAAGGGGATTCATCAGAGAAAATGACTTTACCCCAGTCCTCAGCAGTCCAATCACTGTACCTTTTGCAGAATATCAGTCTGTCCCTGATGTTTTTCCTGGAGAGAAGTGGCTTCCTCGCTGCCCTTCTTGACACCAGGCCATCCTCCAAAAGTATTCGCCTCTCTGTGTGTGCAGATGCACTCACACCTGCCTGCTGCCATTCCTGAGCAAGCTCTGCACTGGTGGTGCCCCGATCCCGCAGCTGAATCAACTTTATTATTATGGTCTCATATCTCACAAACCTTTTAGCGGATCTCCAGAAGATAATTTTGAGTTTTTAATGTCCAATGATGAACCACAGACATAAAATGTAATTGCTGATTGTGATATGATGTCCAAAATAGATTGTACTCATAGACATCATGTTACATAGTAACCATAGACATCATGTTACATAGTAACCATAGACATCATGTTACATAGTAACCATAGACGACATGTTACATGGTAACCATAGACATCATGTTACATAATAGTAATTATGTAATTCGATAGCGAGGTATAGAGTATAACATCTAATCAGGGAATATATTCAATTGTTCCACAAAAAAACAAAAAAATGAGCGTAATTTAGATTAAATGAAATACTGATATGCTTCTAATGTTTTCTGCATCAGCTTTTACTATTATTTGTTTCTTTTAGTTTTTTCACATCCTGCAACTGGTGTAAAGTGTCCTTAAGTCTGGTCCACCAGCTGGATCTCTCTCTGTCTACTATGCAGTAGCAGTAAGCTTGGCCTTGGGATAGTGACCTTTTGGTTTTAGATAAACATTTAGATAAAACCTTTTATCATTACTACATTGGTGTAGATATATAATGTTGATGTAATTTTGATGTAACCTGATCAGAATCATAGAAATAGAATGAATAGAACATATGTTAAAAAAATATATATTTTAGTCATTTAGCACAAGGTTTCCCAAACTCGGTCCTTTCCCGCAAGACATCATAAATAGACCTAAAAGAACTAAATTCAGAATGAATATATTCTGTCTACTCGTATGTCTTAATGTTAATTATACCATGCATCAGTCAAGTCTCTCTGAATAACCTCCACAAGGTTCAACCATGTCCATTCTGCTTTGTGTATTTCTATGTTAAACCGGTCTTTAACATGGAGAGGCAGAGTCCATGTTCTCAGGACTACAGGAGCTCTTATTGGTTCAGACTCAGCACACAGATAAAGATGAGATAGATCAGAGAACACACAGAGACATTTACCCTATTTAAGTGATAATGCCCGAGAACCCGGTGTTTGGAGGATATATTGGCACAGGTGTTGTTAGGCCCGAGACGAAGTCGAGTGCGGGCAAACCATGCCAATATATCCTCCAAACACCGGCTTCAAGGGCATTATCACTTTTATTCAACAGGTTACCAACATATTCAAATAATGATTGACATATTTTCATTAAAAACTATATTTTGATGAATTTATTCATACTATTTCATCCTTCCACAATATATAGTCCCGACACAAACCTAGGGTTGCTACCCAAGCCGGCTGGTCGTTCATTCTATCGATTTGGTTGCCAGAGATGCGACCTAGACTTTCTGTTCTGTATCTATGGGCGCGAACCCAGTCATTCGCTCTAAATGTTCCATTGCCATACTGGCTAGCAACGTTCTTATCCCTTGCTTGCTAGCTAGCTAACTACGGCTAATTTACAGTCACGTCAAACAGTGCAACCAGAATAACAAAAGTAGCTGCATTTGCATTTGTTTAAACTGTTTTATTTATTTATTTGGATGCATCCATAACAATGAGCTAATGAGGCGCGATTTTGCCTGGCATAGAAAATGTGCACTCTCGTCAGGACACTGTCGTTCAGAGGAGCTAGCCAACAACACAGCTAACACAATCACTTCAAACTGAAGCTGGAAAGACTGCAAACTAGCTGCACTTCGTTTTGTTTTACCTTTTTTCAATGGACATTTCTTTGTATATATCCATAAAAATGATGCCAGCTGATTCATGATTTCGACTGGCTGAGAAAAGCTGCCTGCCTGTCTCATTCCGACACGTTCATTACTATGGGACAGCTTGAGATCGAATTTGAATAATGAAACAATGTTGCAGAGACAGACAGCAAGGTTTATATATTTTCAAGTCCTTACATGTGGCTCTGAAGTTCTAAAGCCAGGCACTCTCCTGCACCATGCCCAGAAGGTGGGGAAGGTTGTATGCAAAATGTCGACAACCACGCTCTACGGAAACATTATGGTTCTCAGAACGTTAGTTGCTAGTGAAATGCAGTCAATGTTTGCAATTCAGTATATTTTATTGCCATATTCTATTGCGTCTTTGCTGAAAGTAGTAATAATTCAGTGTCATGTCCACTTTACCAATTTTTGTAGACTAAAGAGCACGAAAAATTCATGACTTCCCTATACATGTAGGTCTCACTGATGAGCTGATTCAGAAGGGCAAAGACATCAAGAGCATCTCGAGATTGAGGAGACTGGGGACCACTCAAGGTGACTGTACCAGGGAGACAAAGGTCCTCACCAAACTGCTTCACCATTGGCCAGGAGGCAGAGCTCGAGACTCTGACCGGGGAGAAAGTCAAGGTGGGTGGCGCATGTTGCAACCCAACCATGAGATTCTTACATGTAGCCTAGATCTATCCATCTCCCTACAAATACAGCCAGTATCTAACTAAACTGAGTTCAGCTGATGTGCGATGACGATGATAAGTTACTTCAGGTCCCAGTGATGTTGGGTTAGTAGTTGCAGTATATCCACATCCAACAGCAGTCAAGTTCCCTTCCCCTGACGTTCTTTGGCAGAGACTCTGCTCTCCAGAGTGACTGGGCTCACAATTTTAACTTTATCAGTTTACATCGCATAACCAACTAGCACACGTCCAAATTAGGCCCTGTTAAATTGGGCCTAGTTGATCGTGGTTGGTGACCACTGCTTTCAGATTTAACATTTGACCTCTACTGTTTTCCAGTCTATGGTGATGAGAGAAGGTAACAAGCTGAAGGTCTCCCTGAAGGGGATCGAATCGGTCACAGAACTGGCAGATCCAAACACCATCGTCAACGTGAGTCTGGGGCATATGGCTGGGGGGGTTCACTAAACGACACTATTTTAGGGTTCATTTATATAGTAATAATTAAATGTGTGTACTAGATGCTCTTTCTATTTTCAGACCATGACTGTAGCTGGCATCGCATACAAGAGGATCAGCAAACGAATTTGATCTACTGTGCTGTTTTGCTTAATAAAATGTGAAAGGCATGGAATGGTCTGGTCTCAGCATTTTATTTACATGGGTAGAACTTCAGGGAAAATTGAGTTTCTGCATTGAGACAGACTTTGCTTTCACTAGTTTCCCAGCTACAGTATGGTTGTGAGGAGTTATGGACGTTTGACTTGATTCTTCTGACGATCTGTGAATTGAAATCAAAGTATGCAGTGTATACTATGCTATTGTGAGGTCACTACTTCTGCTGGCGGTTAGTTTCTGGCCGCCATGGGTTCGTTCATGCTCATTTGCTAGTTTTTCAGGGTCTCCTGCGTGTTATTCTCCTTAACTCCATCTAGGTCTGCAAATCAGAGGGATCATGTCATCAAGATGCGTTTTAATCTTGCAGGTCCTCCTGTGACTGTTTCATGTCTTCCCTCCAGGTCTTTGATGGGTTGTGTGGGTTCTCTGCAGGATGGCATTTCAAATGCTGCATGATCTGTAAGGCCATCTACCGCCTGCCAGTGGGTCACTCCTGCCTTCATGGTTGCCATCCCCAGGGCGGCGTGTTTCGGATGGTGTAGTTTACTGTCAACGTGATATATTTACACCACCTTTAATCAATTCCACTCATCCATCCACCATTTTGCATGCGTAGTCAGTGGTCTCGTCAAACTGCAGGTAGTCTAAGAACTCACTGGCTGTGCTCCACATCCTCAGCTGTGTATAAGCCACCGCTGGCTCCTGTTTCTTTATGCAGTCTGCATCTCTTAACCCGGGGTGGGTAGATTTAGGCTTGGATTTGAGTGTTGTATCTCATGGTAGTTCCCCTTCATGCAAGAGGAGCCCTGGTTTAGAGACCAACCGTCTGCTCCCACCAGACTACAAACTTACATCGGAAGGAGCACAATCAGCCGCAGTGCCCCTGGAGCTTGTCTAAATGTCTTGCTCAAGGGCACAACGGCATGAGATGACACTTGGATCTGAAATCAGCACCAGCAATAATCTTAATGCATTCAAGTCCATAGAGCTATAGAACAGTTCTGTTAAATACATCCTACCCTTTGTCTGTTGGGGTCATTGACTCTCCACCAGAATGGTATACTAAGAAGCAAGCTACTCAGGCTTTTATAAAGCTAGCAAGCTTCAGTTAGCATCACATTCCAGGTTAGGCTTCATCCATACGATGACAGTGGATATTGCTCGTCTGCCTGCCGCTAACTCTAGCAGGTTTGTAACATTGAGTGCATGTCGCACATGGCTAGTCGAACGATGAACTCTTCATTGAGACAATGCTGAAACGTCAATCCATGGGTAAGTCGGTGCCACATTTTTCATTGGTGCCGAAATCAAAACGAAAGCGAAGTTGCAAATTCAGCAGGCTATTGACTGTCTAGATTGAATTAAGCTAAAGGGAAAGTTCTTCTGAAGAGGATATGTCAACGTGTTGCCCTCTGTTTCCCCCCTAATTGGAGACAGCCTGTTTTGTGGGTATTTATGACTTGAGTTTGCAGTGAACTTTATTCTATATTGATCTCCACTGGCATGCATTATTGTTGCCTTTGCATTTCCTTGGTTTGCTGTGCTTTTCCTAATTAGTGTCCTCCCCTTTGGCTGGTCTCCATGGCGGTCAGCACACACCTGAGCCTAAAGCCCTTAACGAGCCATGTACCCTGTACAAAAAGGAGCTCCTAGCTCACATTAGCTTTTCAGAGGGCAATTACCATTTTTTCTGCAGCACCCCTTCACAAAAACTATGCCTCTACTGGGGTCGCGCCACTGTGCTCTTTGGAGGCAGACAGTCTGGGTGTAGGTGTTCCTGCTGGTTGCTGGGGTAGCTAAGCACACCACCATGAGGAAAATGGCTTCCCTTGAGAGGGCAAGAACAAGATGTATGTCAGAAGTGTAGTATTATAAGGTGAAGTGTACTTGGAATATGGGGGAGGAATGGAGGGGAGAGGAGGTCAGAGTGAGAAGGAGGAAGAGGGTGAGCTTGAATTAAAAATGGCGGGGGAAAAAGGAGGATGGTTTGTTAAAGAAGAATGGTTGAAAGTAAGCCGAGTGAGCTGTATGCCGGATCGAAAACCAGAGGAGAAATGGAAGTGAGTGAGGGCAAGGTATCGGAGGGGGTAGGTGTGGTAAAGTTCTCGGAGCCCTTGCACCGAGGGTCAAGATAAAGATGATTCTCTGATGGTAGGAATTACATTGTTGGAGAAAGTGGACCCTTGCCTTTTTGAATGATCCATTTGTGGTTTCAGGGTGGGTGGAAACAGAGTTGGGTGCTGTGAAGGTCACCAGAAGTCGTCTGTTGATAATTGTTTCTGCTAGTCAGAGGGAGAAGGCGCTCCACGTTAAACAAGTGGGGACAAGAGATGTGAATTGTTTTACTCTCAAGAAAAGGTCGCCATTGAAAGGAGTTATTACTGGGGTAGCGGGAAATGTGAAAATTGACCAACGGAAGGGAAAGATTCCCGGTGTTTGTGATGGTTGTTGTTCGGTGCGACGCAGACAGGGTGGCGTTAGTGGTGAAACAGAAGTAATTGTCTGTTCTTTTGAGTTTTGATGACTCTTTGCCGGACAAAGTGATGTTAGGATATATACTATAAGTTATCCTGTACAAGCTTTTGTGCCGAATACATTACGTTGTTACAGGAGTCAAGCTTATGGGCATGTGGCAGTGTGTAGGAGGCAGGTTCCTAGGTGTGAGAAGTGTGCAGAAGGGCATGAGACAAAGGAATATGTAGCATTGGGGAATGTAGTGGTATTTGTTAATTGTAGGGGTGCCCATGGGGCTGGGGATCAGAAATGTCTGGTGCAAGAGAGGTAGGTTGAGGTTTCCAGTGTTATAGTTGTGCAGAAGTTGTCGTATGCTGAGGCAGTAGAGGAAGATGGGTCAAGGGGTAGGGATCCTGGAGGAGTGGTGAGTAGTAGATCTGTACCAGTACAGAGGGATGGGCCAACAAGTGATAAATGCTTTAGTAAGATTGGATTTTTAGCGTTTTATAGCAATGGTTATCAACTGTACTACATGGATGGAACGTAAGTCGCAGAAAATTGAGGTTGTGGTGGCAGCTGCAGAGAGGTATTTGGGTGTACGAGACTTGACGTCAGAGGAGTTATAGGGTGTGTTGAGTGGTGGTGTCCTTTCGAGGTAGGACTAGATAATTAAAATAGTGGAGTAGGTTGGGGGTTTTAATTGAGTGTACAGTCAGATTTAGGGTATTTTTATTTTTTTCCCCAGCAAAATAAAGGAGGTATCATCCAGTCTAGTATGTGGCGGTAATGCAACGTTTATTGGATGCCAACCGCTGTTAAACCTCATCGAAGAAGACTTTAGCTTTTCTTCTGGTGGTGAGAACAACCACTACTACAGAGGTCGCCGCTGCCATGCCACATGACCGCAATGCTACCGCTAGATGACTGCAACTTAGCCATACTGCCACCTCGAGGGGGGTGGGTGGAGGACAGAGCCGAACGAACAAGTGCTGTGATGCACAAAGCTGGGACTGTCTATAGGGATCTGAGTGAGTGACGATTGTGTCCCCCTGCTCTGTTCTGTGCCAGTGGTGAGGTAGCATGTGCCAACGATGGACTGACGCGACAAGCGATCGGACTGACAATCTATGGATGGACGGACAGCGGCGATGGCCATTTTGTTCTAGCTCACCAGCAGCTGGGACTTATTCTTGGGACTGAGTATTTGTGTTAAACATTTGTACACCCCCGAGACCTCAAGTAAAAACATTGGCTGTGTTGGCCTGGGATCGTACTTACCTGTGTCTGACAGATACATGATCTATTCTGTCCTATATTATTTTTCCTCTTTCTGGGTATTACTGTCAACTAAGGGTTTGCTGATATTGAATGCCTTGGTTGGGTTCTGCCTTTATTCCTTTATATTTTTATACCTAGAACTGTTAGTGCTTTTTTTCTAGCCAGTATCGTTTCTCTCGTTTTGTTATCTTGCTATAATGGACAAAAATATAAACGTAACATGTAAAGTGTTTGGCCCATCTTTCATGAGCTGAAATAAAAGATCCCAGAAATGTTCCATACGCACAAAATGTATTTCTCTACAATGTTTTCCACAAATTTGTTTACCAGGGATGTACTGAGCATTTCTCCTTTACCAAAATAATCATCCACCTGACAGGTGTGGCATATCAAGAAGCTGAATAAACAGCATTATCATTACACATGTGCACCTTGCTGGGGCAATTAAAGGCCGCTCTAAAATGTGCAGTTTTGTCACACAACACAATGCCACAGATGTCTCAAGTTTTGAGGGAGCGTGCAATTGGCATGCTGACTGCAGGAATGTCCACCAGAGCTGATGCCAGAGAATTGAATGTCAATTTCTCTACAATTTCGTTTTAACCGCAGACCACGTGTAACCACGCCAGCCTAGGACCTCCACATCCGGCTTCTTCACCTGGGGGATAGTCTGAGACCAGCCAGCCGGACAGCTGATTAAAATGAGTATGTCTGTAATAAAGCCCTTTTGTGGGGAAATTGTTACATGTTGCGTTTATATTTTTGTTCAGTATAGATATTTGCCTCTTTATCGGTATTTACCACTCCTATGAACTAAAAGTGGCTGCTGGCTCCCCTTCCTCTGCGGAAGCACAGCTCCCCCTCAGCCCAGTCAAAACTGTTCGCTGCTCTGGCACCCCAATGGTGGAACAAGCTCCCTCACGACGCCAGGACAGCGGAGTCACTCACCACCTTCCGGAGACATTTGAAACCCCACCTCTTTAAGGAATACCTGGGATAGGCTAAAGTATTCCTTCTAACCCCCCCCCCCCCCCAAATTGTAAAGTGGTTATCCCACTGGCTATAGGGTGAACGCACCAATTTGTGAGTCGCTCTGGCTAAGAGCGTCTGCTAAATGACGTTAATGTGCCCTTGAGCAAGGCACTTAACCCTAATTGCTCCTGTAAGTCGCTCTGGTTAAGAGCGTCTGCTAAATGACTAAAATGTAAATGTAAAATGTTTGGGCTATAATGACTATGCAGTACACTCACTCCCCACATCAGGGCTGTTGAGGTATTAGGCTGGGGGGCATCGGGATTGCAAACGTGGTATGTAAGGGACAGTTGGAGTATCATGCTCTCGGTGGTTAGAAAAGTGAAGGTGCAATTCAGGGAGGGAGTTGAAAGGGCCTTTCTCGGGTTGGGTGGGGGGATATATTAGGGGAGGGACAGAAGGAGGACAGTTAGAAACATATCTCAGGTACAGCTATGTCTAGCACCCTGATCATGATGGTACTTTTTGGTATACATTTTATAGGTGTTAATTCTGGTAAGTACAGTCATGGTTAAAAGTTTTGAGAATGACCCAAGTATTGGTCTTCACAAAGTTTGCTGCTTCAGTGTTTTTAGATATTTTTGTCAGATGTTACTATGGTATACTGAAGTATAATTGCAAGCATTCCATAAGTGTCAAAGGCTTTTATTGACAATTACATTAAGTTTATGCAAAGAGTCAATATTTGCAGTGTTGACCCTTCTTTTTCAAGACCTCTGCAATCCGCCCTGGCATGCTGTCAATAAACTTCTGGGCCACATCCTGACTGATGGCAGCCCATTCTTGCATAATTAATGCTTGGAGTTTGTCAGAAATTGTGGGTTTTTGTTTGTCCACCCGCCTCTTGAGGATTGACCACAAGTTCTCAATGGGATTAAGGTCTGGGGAGTTTCCTGATCATGGACCCAACATTTAGATGTTTTGTTCCCAGAGCCACTTAGTTATCACTTTTGCCTTATGGCAAGGTGCTCCATCATGCTGGAAAAGGCGTTGTTCGTCACCAAACTGTTCTTGGATGGTTGGGAGAAGTTGCTCTCGGAGGATGTGTTGGTACCATTCTTTATTCATGGCTGTGTTCTTAGGCAAAATTGTGAGTGAGCCCACTCCCTTGGCTGAGAAGCAACCCCACACATGAATGGTCTCAGGATGCTTTACTGTTGGCATGACACAGGACTGATGGTAGCGCTCACCTCGTCTTCTCCGGACAAGGTGTTTTCCGGATGGCCCAAACAATCGGAAAGGGGCTTCATCAGAGAAAATGACTTTACCCCAGTCCTCAGCAGTCCAATCACTGTACCTTTTGCAGAATATCAGTCTGTCCCTGATGTTTTTCCTGGAGAGAAGTGGCTTCCTCGCTGCCCTTCTTGACACCAGGCCATCCTCCAAAAGTATTTGCCTCTCTGTGCGTGCAGATACACTCACACCTGCCTGCTGCCATTCCTGAGCAAGCTCTGCACTGGTGGTGCCCCGATCCCGCAGCTGAATCAACTTTATTATTTTGGTCTCATATCACACAAACCTTTGAGCAGATCTCCAGAAGATAATTTAGAGTTTTTAATGTCCAATGATGAACCACAAACATAAAATGTAATTGCTGATTGTGATATGATATCCAAAATAGATTGTACTCATAGACATTATGTTACATAGTAACCATAGACATCATGTAACCATAGACATCATATTACATAGTTAACATAGACGACATGTGACATAGTAACCATAGACGACATGTTACATAGTAACCATAGATGACATGTTACATAGTAACCATAGATGACATGTTACATAGTAACCATAGACGACATGTTACATGGTAACCATAGACATCATGTTACATAATAGTAATTATAGCGAGGTATAGAGTATAACATCTAATCAGGGAATATATTCAATTGTTCCACAAAAAAATGAAAAAATGAGCGTAATTTAGATGCAATGAAATACTGATATGCTTCTAATGTTTTCTGCATCAGCTTTTACTATTATTTGTTTCTTTTTAGTTTTTTCACATCCTGCAACTTGTGTACAGTGTCCTTAAGTCTGGTCCACCAGCTGGATCTCTCTCTGTCTACTATGCAGTAGCAGTAAGCTTGGCCTTGGGATAGTGACCTTTTGGTTTTAGATAAACATTTAGATAAAACCTTTTATCATTACTGCTACCTTTTATCATTACTACATTGGTGTAGATATATAATGTTGATGTAATTTTGATGTAACCTAATCAGAATCATAGAAATAGAATGAATAGAACATATATTAAAAAATAATAATTTTAGTCATTTAGCACAAGGTTTCCCAAACTCGGTCCTTTCCCGCAAGACATCATAAATAGACCTAATAGAACTAAATTCAGAATTAATATATTCTGTCTACTCGTATGTCTTAATGTTAATTATACCATGCATCAGTCAAGTCTCTCTGAATAACCTCCACAAGGTTCAACCATGTCCATTCTGCTTTGTGTATTTCTATGTTAAACCGGTCTTTAACATGGAGAGGCAGAGTCCATGTTCTCAGGACTACAGGAGCTCTTATTGGTTCAGACTCAGCACACAGATAAAGATGAGATAGATCAGAGAACACACAGAGACATCTACTGTATGTACCCTAGTTCAAAGATAGTACATGATGCACACACTGACATACAGCCAGATATAAGCAAGGATAATACAAGTGGTGCACACTGTACAAAAGTCAACTTAACCAATTGCTTAATCAGCGTTATTCTGTGAGTTGGGTGGACTTCAGAAGGACAAGAAATTGAGCAAATGGGTGAATGTTTGTTCACTCAACAAACTTTGCTCACAGTGAGCTGAATGTATAAAAACTTGTTGAGTCGAATTACAATGTAATGTTTGCCTTTGGAAGGCAACACTCTATGTTGGTTCAGCTATGTTCCCAAATGTGGATTAGTGACATGCAGTATTTTACATAACCACTGTTGTGCCTGTTGAAGTAACACACGCACAAGTTCCAGTATTGCACCAATGTGCCTCAAACAAGCAACACAGTAACGGACTCCTACAACGACCACTGCCCAAATGTGCCTTTCAACACGAAAAACCTGTTTTGCACTTTTCTGTTTACTTTATCCTTATGTCATATGGAAATCTGAGAAGAAAATTATGAATAATTGTATATAATATAATACATTTATATAATTTAATTGTATACATTTATATATACCATTATATATACAAATATAATTTGCACTTTTTTGGGGGGGACACAACTTTTTAATTCCGTATTGGTTATGTTGTAATACATAGAAAGAGGAAATGAATATATTAAAGAGAATTATAATGAAATATGTTTTTTGAAACATGTTATTGTCAAAGTATCATTCTTGTGAATGAAAAATAGCCCTAAATGCTTATCATCCTCATTGCCAGTTAGTCTCGCGATTAGAGTGTTGGGCCAATAACTGATGGGTCGCTGGTTGGAATACGAGAGCCGACAAGGTGAAAAATCTGCCTCTATGCCCTTGAGCAAGGCACTTAACCCCAATTGCTCCAGGGGTGCTGGACCATGTTGACCCTGGCCGTGACGACACTCCCTGCAGGTGTCTCAGAAGGAGTTGGGATATGCAAGAAAAACATTTCCATTATATACTTGTGTGTAACAGGACATATATATGCACCCCCCAAATGATTATTATTATCATAAATCCTCATCACATTTTATTTTAGTAGAGCCAGTGAAGGTTTCTCATCAAACGAGGGATAGTGAAATGCTACATGTTAAAAAAGTGGACTTTGTATTTTTTATTTCAATGCTCATAAACTGTACAGTGGCGCAGTGGTCTAAGGCACTGCATCGCAGTGCTAGCTGTGCCACTAGAGATCCTGGTTCGAATCCAATTGGCCCGGCGACGTCCAGGGTAGGGGAGGGTTGTGGGTTCGATTCCCACGTGTGGCCAGTATGAAAAATAAAAAAGTAATGTATGCACTCACTAACTGTAAGTCGCTCTGGATAAGAGCGTCTGCTAAATTACTAAAATGTAAAAATTTAAATGGAGCAAACTCACAATCCTATAGCAGCTAGTTGCCTTACAATTGTACATTGATTAAACTTTTTTACAGTGCAGGGAGCCAAATACAGCTCTCAACTCAATCAACTTAAAGTGCAGGTGTAGCCTAGTTGAATTTCTACACAGGTGGATAGGGAGATAAAGTCAAGTTAAATTTGAAATGTGTTGATTGATCCATACGCTTGTATTACAATGATGACACTGCTTATCATCTTTCTTATCAGGAGTCGAGGAGGCCTTGATTTTCAATACAGATCAATGATCACTCACACCGCCAAAGAAGAGAGGATGAGGAGGGAGGAGGGGAGTACAATAAAGTTGACCATTGCAATCTAGATTAGTTGCCCTTGGCTGGGAAGCTGATCCTAGATCTGTGCCTATAGGTAAGTAGCAGGGAAGATAGGAGGGGGAGGGGTTCTCAATTGTAGACACCTTTAGTTAGTTAACGATTGCAGGGCTGGATAGATGAGGGTATAAAGACAAGCAGGGAGCTGTGGCTGTCTTTACCGTCACTGCCTTATAGTCACCATGTCTTTCTCAGGGAAATACCAGCTGGAGACACATGAGAACTTTGAGCCTTTCATGAAGGCTATTGGTAAGTCTTGCTGTTGTGTTTGTACATTTGTGATGTGATTAGACTTGGGGTGTTAATTTCAGAAGTTGTAGTCCTTTCAGTAATGATGTTCAATGGTGACTGCTGATACAGCGGTTACTCCTGAGTAACAAACTCAGCTAGCACCTTAAAAATGTTTTATATATTTTTTTTAGGTTACAGGGAGTTTGAGAACATTGTTACTATGGTTCCCAGAGTTTTGTTGGGAGGCTTTTAATGTTTTGAGAACATGACTTTAAATAGAACCAAGAATGTACAAAGAACATTATATTGAGGTACTGAAATTCCCACAGGAGAATTTTAAGCTTTGCTGAACAATTTGAGAACATTCCCAATGTCAAATGAACTGAACATTACCTTAAATTAAAGGTTTGAACTTTCAGGAAACGTTCTGATAAAGTAATGTCAAGAAAATAAAATTTTTGTCGAGTTCCTTAAATGTGCTGAATGTTCTAAAGCCAGGCAACTCTCCTGCACCACTGCCAGAAAGTTGTGGGAAGGTTGTATGCAAAATAGTCAGACAACCACGCTCTACGGAACATATGGTTCTCAGAATGTTAGTTGCTAGCTGGAAATGCATTCAATGTTTGCATTCAGTATATTTTATTGCCATATTATATTGCGTTTTGCTGAAGTAGTAATAATTCAGTGTTCATGTCCCACTTTACCAATTTTTTGTAGTACTAAAGAGCACAGTTCATGACTCTCCCTCATACATGTAGGTCTCACTGATGAGCTTATTCAGAAGGGCAAAGACATCAAGAGCATCTCTGAGATTGAGGAGACTGGGGACCACTTCAAGGTGACTGTCACCACGGGGACAAAGGTCCTCACCAACTGCTTCACCATTGGCCAGGAGGCAGAGCTCGAGACTCTGACCGGGGAGAAAGTCAAGGTGGGTGGCGCATGTTGCAACCCAACCATGAGATTCTTACATGTAGCCTAGATCTATCCATCTCCCTACAAATACAGCCAGTATCTAACTAAACTGAGTTCAGCTGATGTGGGATGACGATGATTAGTTACTTCAGGTCCCAGTGATGATGGTTTAGTAGTTGCAGTATATCCACATCCAACAGCAGTCAAGTTCCCTTCCCCTGACATTCTTTGGCAGAGACTCTGCTCTCCAGAGTGACTGGGCTCACAATTTTAACTTTATCAGTTTACATCGCATAACCAACTAGCACACTTTCAAATGGCCATCCAAATTAGACCCTGTTAAATTGGGCCTAGTTGATTGTGGTTGGTGACCACTGCTTTCAGATTTAACATTTGACCTCTACTGTTTTCCAGTCTATGGTGATGAGAGAAGGTAACAAGCTGAAGGTCTCCCTGAAGGGGATCGAATCTGTCACAGAACTGGCAGATGCAAACACCATTGTCAACGTGAGTCTGGGGCATATGGCTGGGGGGGGTTCACTGAACTACACTATTTTTGGTTTCATTTATATAGTAATAATTAAATGTATCTACTAGATGCTCTTTCTATTTTCAGACCATGACTGTAGCTGGCATCACATACAAGAGGATCAGCAAACGAATTTGATCTACTGTGCTGTTTTGCTTAATAAAATGTGAAAGGCATGGAATGGTCTGGTCTCAGCATTTTATTTACATGGGTAGAACTTCAGGGAAAATTGAGATTCTGCATTGAGACAACGTTTCCATTGTTTGAGTTGAAGAATGTGACGATAGCTCAGTGGGATTCAATACATAATATATAATGCAAGCCCAGCAGTGTAGAAATGAAGGCTTTGTAGGTCTGTTACATTTTAAACCGATGCACCCATGTTGTAAGTTGGTTAAGGCAATACGGTGGCTGTGTTTTGGACTTTGCTTTCACTAGTGTCCCAGCTACAGTATGGTTGTGAGGAGTCCTGGATGTTTGACTTGATTCTTCTGACGATCTGTGAACTGATATCAAAGTATGCAGTGTATACTATGCTATTGTGAGGTCACTACTTCTGCTGGTGGTTAGTTTCTTGACGCCATGGGTTCGTTCATGCTCATTTGCTAGTTTTTCAGGGTCTCCTCCGTGTTATTCTCCTTAACTCAATCTAGGTCTGCAAATCATAGAGGAATCATGTCATCAAGATGTGTTTTAATCTTGCAGGTCCTCCTGTGTGACGGTTTCTTGTCTTACCTCCAGGTCTTTGGTGATGGCTTGTGTGGGTTCTCTGCAGGATGGCATTTCAAACGCTGCATGATCTGTGAGGCCCATCTACCGCCTGCCAGTGGGTCACTCCTGCCTTCATGGTTGCCATCCCCAGGGTGGCGTGTTTCGGATGGTGTAGTTTACTGTCGACATGATATATTTACACTTTCTTTGATCAATTCCACTCATCATTCCACCATTTTGCATGCATAGTCAGTGGTCTTGTCAAACTGCAGGTAGTCTAAGACCTCGCTGGCTGTGCTCCACATCCTCAGCTGTGTATAAGCCACCGCTGGCTCCTGTTTCTTTATGCAGTCTGCATCTCTTAACCCGGGGTGGGTAGATTTAGGCTTGGATTTGAGTGTTGTATCTCATGGTAGTTCCCCTTCATGCAAGAGGAGCCCTGGTTTAGAGACCAACCGTCTGCTCCCACCAGACTACAAACTTACATCGGAAGGAGCACAATCAGCCGCAGTGCCCCTGGAGCTTGTCTAAATGTCTTGCTCAAGGGCACAACAGCATGAGATGACACTTGGATCTGAAATCAGCACCAGCAATAATCTTAATGCATTAAAGTCCATAGAGCTATAGAACAGTTCTGTTAAATACATCCTACCCTTTGTCTGTTGGGGTCATTGACTCTCTCCACCAGAATGGTATATTATGAAGCAAGCTACTCAGGCTTTTATAAAGCTAGCAAGCTTCAGTTAGCGTCACATTCCAGGTTAGGCTTCATCCGTACGATGACAGTGGATATTGCTCGTCTGCCTGCCGCTAACTCTAGCAGGTTTGTAACATCGAGTGCATGTCGCACATGGCTAGTCGAACGATGAGCTCTTGAGACAATGCTGAAACGTCAATCCATGGGTAAGTCGGTGCCACATTTTTCGTTTGTGCCGAAATCAAAACGAACACGAAGCTGCAAATTCAGCAGGCTATTGACTGTCTAGATAAAATTGAGCTAAAGGAAAAGTTCTTCTGAAGAGGATATGTCAACGTGTTGCCCTCTGCTTTCCCCCTAATTGGAGACAGCCTGTTTTGTGGGTATTTATGACTTGAGTTTGCAGTGATCTTTATTCTATATTGATCTCCACTGGCATGCATTATTGTTGCCTTTGCATTTCCTTGGTTTGCTGTGCTTTTCCTAAGTAGTGTCCTCCCCTTTGGCTGGTCTCCATGGCGGTCAGCACACACCTGAGCCTAAAGCCCTTAACGAGCCATGTACCCTGTACAAAAAGGAGCTCCTAGCTCACATTAGCGTTTCAGAGGGCGATTACCATTTTTTCTGCAGCACCCCTTCACAAAAACTATGCCTCTACTGGGGTCGCGCCACTGTGCTCTTTGGAGGCAGACAGTCTGGGTGTAGGTGTTCCTGCTGGTTGCTGGGGTAGCTAAGCACACCACCATGAGGAAAATGGCTTCCCTTGAGAGTGCAAGAACAAGATGTATGTCAGGAGAAGTGCATTATTATAAGGTGAAGTGTACTTGGAATACGGGGGAGGAATGGAGGGGAGAGGAGGTCAGAGTGAGGAAGAGGGTGAGCTTGAATTAAAAATGGCGGGGGAAAAAGGAAGCTGGTTTGTTAAAGAAGAATGGTTGAAAGTAAGCCGAGTGAGCTGTATGCCGGATCGAAAACCAGAGGAGAAATGGAAGTGAGTGAGGGCAAGGTATCGGAGGGGGTAGGTGTGGTAATGTTCTCGGAGCCCTTGCACCGAGGGTCAAGATAAAGATTATTCTCTGATGGTAGGAATTGCATTGTTGGAGAAAGTGGACCCTTGCCTTTTTGAATGATCCATTTGTGGTTTCAGGGTGGGTGGAAACAGAGTTGGGTGCTGTGAAGGTCACCAGAAGTCGTCTGTTGATAATTGTTTCTGCTAGTCAGAGGGAGAAGGCGCTCCACGTTAAACAAGTGGGGACAAGAGATGTGAATTGTTTTGTTCTCAAGAAAAGGGCGTCATTGAAAGGAGTGATTACTGGGGTAGTGGGAAATGTGAAAATTGACCAACTGAAGGGAAAGATTCCCGGTGTTTGTGATGGTTGTTGTTCGGTGCGACGCAGACAGGGTGGCGTTAGTGGTGAAACAGAAGTAATTGTCTGTTCTTTGAGTTTTGATGACTCTTTGCTGGACAAAGTGATGTTAGGATATATACTGTAAGTCATCCCGTACAAGCTTTTGTGCCGAATACATTACGTTGTTACAGGAGTCAAGCTTATGGGCTTGTGGCAGTGTGTAGGAGGCAGGTTCCTAGGTGTGAAAAGTGTGCAGAAGGGCATGAGACAAAGGAATATGTAGCATTGGGGAAAGTAGTGGTATGTGTTAATTGTAGGGGTGCCCATGGGGCTGGGGATCAGAAATGTCTGGTGCGAGAGAGGCAGGTTGAGGTTTCCAGTGTTATAGTAGAGCAGAAGTTGTCGTATGCTGAGGCAGTGAAGAAAGTAGAGGAAGATGGGTCAAGAGGTAGGGATCCTGGAGTAGTAGATCTGTACCAGTACAGAGGGATAGGCCAACAAGTGTTATATGCTTCAGTAAGATTGGATTTTTAGCATTTTATAGCAATGGTTATCAACTGTACTACATGGATGGAACGTTAGTCGCAGAAAACTGAGGTTGTGGTGGCAGCTGCAGAGAGGTATTTGGGTGTACGAGACTTGACGTCAGAGGAGTTATAGGGTGTGTTGAGTGGTGGTGTCCTTTCGAGGTAGGACTAGATAATTAAAATAGTGGAGTAGGTTGGGGGTTTTAATTGAGTGTACAGTCAGATTTAGGGTATTTTTATTTTTTTCCCCAGCAAAATAAAGGAGTTATCATCCAGTCTAGTATGTGGCGGTAATGCAACGTTTATTCGATGCCAACCGCCGCTAAACCTCATCGAAGAAGACTTTAGCTTTTCTTCTGGTGGTGAAAACAACCACTACTACAGAGGTCGCCGCTGCCATGCCACATGACCGCAATGCTACCGCTAGATGACTGCAACTTAGCCATGCTGCCACCTCGAGGGGGGGGGGGGGGGTGGAGGACAGAGCCGAACGAACAAGTGCTGTGATGCACAAAGCTGGGACTGTCTATAGGGAACTGAGTGAGTGACGATGGTGTCCCCCTGACCCCTGCTCTGTTCTGTGCCAGTAGTGAGGTAGCATGTGCCAACGATGGACTGACGCGACAAGCGATCGGACTGACAATCTATGGATGGACGGACAGCGGCGATGGCCATTTTGTTCTAGCTCACCAGCAGCTGGGACTTATTCTTGGGACTGAGTATTTGTGTTAAACATTTGTACACCCCCGAGACCTCAAGTAAAAACATTGGCTGTGTTGGCCTGGGATCGTACTTACCTGTGTCTGACAGATACATGATCTATTCTGTCCTATATAATTTTTCCTCTTTCTGGGTATTACTGTCAACTAAGGGTTTGCTGATATTGAATGCCTTGGTTGGGTTCTGTCTTTATTCCTTTATATTTTTATACCTAGAACTGTTAGTGCTTTTTTCTAGCCAGTATCATTTCTCTCATTTTGTTATCTTGCTATAATGAACAAATATATAAACGTAACATGTAAAGTGTTTGGTCCATGTTTCATGAGCTGAAATAAAAGATCCCAGAAATGTTCCATACGCACAAAACGTATTTCTCTAAAATTTTTTCCACAAATTTGTTTAACGGGGATGTACTGAGCATTTGTCCTTTACCAAAATAATCATCCACCTGACAGGTGTGGCATATCAAGAAGCTGAATAAACAGCATTATCAATACACAGGTGCACCTTGTGCTGGGGGCAATTAAAGGCCGCTCTAAAATGTGCAGTTTTGTCACACAACACAATGCCACAGATGTCTCAAGTTTTGAGGGAGCGTGCAATTGGCATGCTGACTGCAGGAATGTCCACCAGAGCTGATGCCAGAGAATTGAATGTCAATTTCTCTACAATTTCGTTTTAACCGCAGACCACGTGTAACCACGCCAGCCTAGGACCTCCACATCCGGCTTCTTCACCTGGGGGATCGTCTGAGACCAGCCAGCCGGACAACTGATTAAAATGAGTATTTATGTCTGTAATAAAGCCCTTTTGTGGGGAAATTGTTACATGTTGCGTTTATATTTTTGTTCAGTATAGTTGTTTGCCTCTATCGGTATTTACCACTCCTATGAACTAAAAGTGGCTGTTTGGGCTATAATGACTATGCAGTACACTCACTCCCCACATCAGGGCTGTTGAGGTGTTAGGCTGGGGGGCATCGGGATTGCAAACGTGGTATGTAAGGGACAGTTGGAGTATCATGCTCTCGGTGGTTAGAAAAGTGAAGGTGCAATTCAGGGAGGGAGTTGAAAGGGCCTTTCTCGGGTTGGGTGGGAGGATATATTAGAGGAGGGACAGAAGGAGGACAGTTAGAAACATATCTCAGGTACAGCTATGTCTAGCAGCCTGATCATGA